ACTAAACAAAGAGTTTAGCACTGATGGAGTCACTCTGAGTGTTAAGGCTAGGCCACAGTTCTTTGATGAATAGCATTTCGTACAGGAGGCAGTCAAATTTCCCGTAGCACTTCTTGAGAACACGAAATTGACCCTCATTAAGAAGGTTTTTGTCACCGTGCACTTCTAAAAGGTGTTTCCCAATAGCCGAACACTTGTATTCGGCAATGCGTTGATGAAGGTGTCGGGCTGTATAACCAATATAATCTGCATCACACAGCTCACATGCAAATTTATAAACAACGCAATGCTGACTTACCATACTCGGCTTAATGGACCAATTTCGATATATTTAAAATTCAGCCCAAAAGAAAAGACCTCAGTACGAGGCTCCGGAGAACAACAACAGAGTTTGTGGGGTTTATTCCCCAGAGCCTGTTGCTGATGTCTATTCTTTTAGGCTGAATTTTAATATTTCGAAATTGGTCTATTTGCTAAATAATTGGTTAAAGAGTTTTGACCTTCCTTGTGATATAAAAGCTGACCATAGCAACTGTATAACCTGTGTTTATAACTCATATACAAGTTAAAGCAATTTTTTGCTTTAAAGAGAGAGAGAGGAAAAAAAAACTTCTAATGGGACGAGTTCAGAGCCACCTTAATTGTCAAAAAAGAGAAGAGATGGTTCTGTTTCTCTCACTTCCATTCCTGCCACTAAGCTAAATTTAAGGGTGTTTTAATAAATTGTATTTTTCTAAATTAAGCCGCTTGTCACAAACTTTATCCGCTAACAACTATTCTTCCCATTTTCTCAGAGGTCATCAGTCCAACACAGACCGTGAAATAAAAGCTAATGTGGCAACCCAGCGAGTTTAAGTTATTCTACAGCTCTGGGAGGACTCCAATATAAAAAAGAACGGGGGTGCTCATCGGAAATTTTGAAAAGAAACCCTGAGAAGTACAAAGGTCCTGGCTTGTGGGTGTGGCTCGAAATCTTTTTCACCTCTAAGAGGCACCAATTCTTAAACAACACATTATCTCCTGTCATATTTTGTTCGG